TGACATAATTTATGACAATAACAATAAAATACTATCATGTTGCCTGCCCCTGTTAGTGCAGTCTGCAAGTAACTAGACAGTGACTATGACACTAGATTATAAACACAATAGTGACTACAAATTTAATGTGCAGGATCTCAGCTTTAATTTGAAGACATTTACTGCGAGATTGGGACACAAATAGTATGATATTTTGGTTGCAGTCACCATCAGAGGGAAGAATATATTTATTAAATCATAAACAAAATATGTTGAAAATTTTCCAATTATTTGAAAATGGTCCAAGTTGAGAGATGAAGAAGAATCTGTGATTGGGACATTGAGATTTGTATCATTTAATAACACAATAAGCCATGAGAGTCATGTGAACAAACACGTGCATGAGAGAACTGTCTTTCTGAAGGACATGTAGAGAAGATCAAAGGCATGAGACAATCCTTCCACAAATGTGTGCATCAGTGAACAATTTCATGTGTGACACTAGGAAAACTCCTCTCCAGAGCTCTGGGACTGTAGCCAAAAAGAAGAACATACTTGTATAATGTCTTCAATAAAGCTTTATAGCTCCAGTACCATGTACTGCTGAAGACCTGCTGAGTGGCTGAAGGGGCATGGGGAAAAAGAGGACAGCAAAAGGTCAGTTCATGCTACCTGACCTCTGGCCCGGTGATGCTGAGAGGGGAAAGATGCGGGAAATCACTCAGGAACTTTCCAGAAGCTCTGCAACCCAAGAGCTTTGCTTTCCCTCAGCCTTTTTAAGTCCTATGTAGGCCAGAGTGGCACAAAATCTTCCTGACTACTAATGTGGGTCTGAAGAAAGGACCAAGACAAAGACTTTTGACTAAATATCAGAAAATATCTATCTAGAATGTTATAACGAACTTTAAGCCTTAGAAGTTAGACCTATAATAATAAACACATGGTGAAATTTCATATTAATACATTTTCACCCACATGGTATTGAAACAAGCAGAGAAATGATACTACATTTGTGTTTGCAAGTAGAACAGGAGATATTTCATAATTGTATTTTATAAAGATATTTTCTATTATAAAAAAATACCTGTTACAATTGTCATTGTTTTGTCATTTCATGAAACTGAAACAAGTGCAAACTTAAAACTGTTGATATAGAATGTAATTTCAATTTCAATATAATTCACTAAGTAACTAGTTTATATATAGTTAAATATATAAGTATGTAGTTATATTTGAATTATATAGCAAAATAAATAACACTTGAATTCTATAGGTTAACATCCTGAAACCCCTAACACACAGTACACACTGTAAACTGTGTAGGAAATACAGTACTGGGCAAAAGTCAGAGACCCCTTATTTATGATTTATGTAATTTTCAGTCAAAATGGTTATTAAGTACAAGTTACTCAAGTTACTCAAAAAGAAAACATTTTGAGAGACTTACTTTCAGTTTTTAAGGGATTTTTCCACACCTTCAAGGTTCAGTCTCAGAAGTTGGTTGCATTTTCTGCTTCAAAAACCAATTAATCAGTCTATATGACCTTACTCCAAATATCCAGATATCCCGTTCTGGTCTTCTATTGCATTTTTCTAGTATTTCTTTGTCTCAGTAAGGGCTTCTTGACAGCTACACATCCGTTCAGACTCATAGCTCTGAGTTGTCCTCTCTCAGTGGAAGGATGGGCAGAAATACTTGTGGATTTTTCAGATCTGAAGTAAGAGTGGAGCTTGATTTTCTCCTCTCTCTCAAAGATGAAAGCTTTAAGTGCTGTTTATCTGATGGTGACAGTTTTGGTGGTCTACCCGATCCTGCATGGTTGTTAGAAACCCCATTTTCCTTATAGCTTTTACTATTTTGTTAAAATGTAACTGTTTTGGAAACTCCTGTTTTTCACTTATTTTTCTATCACTTCTTTATGCAAGTTCACCTTATATCTAATATTCTCATGAAAATTTTCTGACAAATAATTTGTACTTGTAATGGCCATTTTGACTGGAAATGAATTAAATAATTAATTAAAGAAGAATGGTCTTTGACGTTTGCACAGTATTGTAGCTCCGAAATGCAAATGCAAGACTTTAAGACTTGTTTGTCTTGGAATAACTTTCAATCTATTGCTTTCCAATTGCAAGATCTATTAGTTTAATGTAAATCCATTTGTCCAAGTGTACCTTATTTGGAAAGAAGCCTGTGGAGCCACGCTAAAACATTTCTGCCTTAACGACTGTGGGCAGCCAACACAGAACAAACACTAAAAAACACACTGCATGTCATGCACTACCAAGCACATCCCCTCTGAGCACAAGCACTCGAATGGCATAACACCAACAGGTAAAACCTCCATGAATTTCACTTAATCTTCTGATCCAAAACACATGTGCATGCAGTAATACACCCTACAAGGCATTCGAGAACCTGGCCTCAGTCTGGCTGGTGGAGAAAAAAGAAAGAAGAGCTAATTAGGCATTTACCTTTGACCCCCCTGACTGTGTGAAAGGGTGCAAGGAATGCCAGCAGTTCGTGATTAATTAGCACAGTGTGGAACTGGGGCTTGCATGCTCTACTGGGAGCATATATAAAGGAGACAGGCAAAACCGAAAGTGACAGAGCCATCAAAGTCAGATACCACAACAAAAGAACACAAGTAATCAAAAGGTTATGCCTCAAGAGATTAAGAAAGACATCTGCAGAAAGAGAAGCAGATTTGAAGAAATTCTGGTTATTTTTAGCCTTTTAAAGCCAGTGCCCTTTTGACATTACACAATGAAGTCCAGGTGATGGAACGGCATAGATGAGATTAGCATGCACATACGTTACTCTCCCTTCTAAAATGTATAGCACATGGCTCTAGGTTACATATTACAATGAAGCCATTAAAGATCACTGCCTCAGAGCTGGACCAGAAGGAACACAAAGCAAGAATTACCATTCTAAAAGCATAAAGCTGCCAGCTGTCTGGACCCTGTACATATGCACTTGTCTCATATACTGGACTGGTCTGTCTCAAAAACACCAGTGGCGAACCGTGACCATCAGAGCTTGGCAGTCAATTCGAGCCAAGAATGTCCAAACACAGTCAAGACATGATGAGAAAAACTCACAATAAAGCAAATATCCGCTAGCATCCCTATGGGATTCAAGTAGCTTGTTCGCACTAAGCAAATAGTGATTTACATAAACAATTTTTGATCGTTCCAGATTAAACAAAGACATCTGAAGCTTCAAAAAGACATTCCATGTTTTTCTTAGAGCATGTGACACACATATTGGCACATTTTACCTTGATTCTTTCAATAGAGAGGCCTGGTATAGAGCTGCCACCACTGTTTTTCCATTTCTAACACTGCTGCTCGTATTTACAGTGAGTGGTGAGTCTAGGACTTCCAGAAGGCCTAGGGTGATGTTTTTCTCTTGAAATTGGTCCTGCATACTGGAAATCAACATGTGATTCATTGATTTCGCTGTCACTTCACAATTATGCTGATAGTTAATCTAACGCCTTAGCCTTCTCTTCAGATCTTGAAGTCCTACCCAATAGGAGAGGCTGCTTAGCTATACTTACCTACATGCTACGAAAAACAATTCTTGATTGGCCAATTTTCTGCTGGCCATTTCAAGAATTTAACTCTTGTGTCCGTCCACAACTTAATAATGAAACAAGAGCAGTACTGTAATACTTTACAAACATGTATAATTCTATTGAAAAAAATAGCTAATTATTACAGATATGTTCAGTTCAAAACCCTTCACAGAAGCGTTAATCTACACTTTTAAACGGATAAGTACCAACAGAGTTCTTTGCTCAATGCCATTAAAAGAACCACTTCTCTCTAAACTTTTAATGGATGGTTCTTTATGGGACCGTTGTGCAAATGAGAAGTACAAGTGTGAAGAACCTTTTTAAAGCTTGTAGAATGTCCATTTAATGTAAAGGTTCTACACCCATTTAAGAGCAGTCCACAGTTTTTGCTCTATACCAACTTCCAAATTATAGAGCAAAAACATGAGGACTCATTTGAGAACCACTGCTTTCGAGGACCGTTTTTGTAAATGAATATAAGTACATGTGAAGAACCTTTTCAAACTCTTCATATTACAAAGGTTGTAGGAAGAACCTCTAAAATTGGTATAGAACATTCACATTATTTGAAGGTTCTTTGAACCTTAGTAAGGTTTTTCACACGCACAAATGTCTTTAGGTTCTTTAGGGAACCAAGAGTAGTCATTTTCTGACACCTTTTTTTTAACTGTAGCTAATAAACACATATTGCTAACATTAATGCAAAAGAAAACATCTAACAAAAGTAGTATGATTACGGATTTGTGACATACTGACTGTTAATGATTATGGTCCTGCTAATAACTTAGTTCAGCTATAAAGTTATTGATATTAAACAGCAAAAGTCTCATCCTGCAAGCGGGGATTACTTTGGGCCGGGTACAGTTCCATCAGCTGAAGTGTGAGGAAATAGTTTTAAATCCAGCTCATTTAATGACTCAAAACGAATTTGGTTCGTCGTGTTTTAGACAATTAAACAAACATGAGCAGCTAGCCTGGCTGCCCTCGGCCACATTGCTCTGTATTCGAACATCAAACACGCTAGTTTTTCTGATTGTGAGCCAGCACAAATGAAGTTGAATACTTCCTAGACACTGATAACAATTCCAGTAAAAATAGCTGATAATCGCATATTTGCATAATAACTACTGCATAGCGAAACAAAACAAGTCACATGTGCACAAGTCATGCCCTGCCTGTTTGAAAAGCTGACGACAGACAGAAGGCTAAGCAAACATCCACCCTGCCAATCTATACAATCCCTTCCACTTCAAAACCACAAAGTCTGAGTCTAATGAGCCAGTCCTGTCTTCGCGGAGATTAACAGGGGGGTGTGCGGGATCTCTTTCAGTCTTTCCCTGTTAAATGTGCTTAGACAACTTGGATACATCAGCAGGCCATTAGCATTGACTGAGAAAAGGTCAAATCAATGCTGTAAAATGCTTTTTGTCTACTTACGGTCAGCGCAGTGCGCATGGAGTCCCTGTCCGCTGGGTCTGAATTCTCCAGTAAGTCCTCCAGGTCATTTGAGGACAGCAGGAGCTCCTGAATTAAGCAAGAAGGAAACACAAACAGCAAAGCTCATGCATATAATCCTCATGTAGGGAGTCTGAATGTTGTGTTGCCAGTGCGATAAGTAGAGGCTCCTGGCGGAGATGACAGATCGGATTTTACCTTTAAAATGCCTTACAGTCACAGCTCATCTGTCATAATGAGATCCAACTGACTCACAAAGTCCTAAAAATAAAGATTCCTAGATGGTTCTTAGCTTAGTCGTACAGTTCTTGGAGAAAAAAAAAAACTTTAATTGGTACAGTGCTTTTACATTATGTGGAGGGTCTGCAAAGCAGTTGTTCTCAAATTGGTCCCAAGAGGCCCCTAGAGCGTTCTCACGTTTTGCTCAATCCCTATGTGCTGGGAACTGAGATCAAAATGTGACCATCTGAAAGTCCCTAAGCATCACTTTGAGAAGTGCTGCTTTAATAGTTAACCCCTTAAAATTCCAGGCTTATAATATCCCAGAGCACACAATTCAGTTTACATGGACTACAGAGTAGATACTTATATATGGTTTCTAAACTAGCATTTTCTAGAGCTGTGATTCAGTTACAGAAGTGTACAAGAGACTACTAGAGCCACCGGCAGGTCTTATTAAGTCTCATTTGTCTCATTTACAAATTACAAGTTTGGTTTTTTTAAAGGATCATCCATTGAAAGGTTCATTACTGAACTAAAGGAGCATAGAGAGACCATTATTCACAACCTACTTTCTTTTTTTAACTCAGTTTTCCCCCCAATATAATTATGTGCAATTCTACTGACTAGGTTTCCTCTGGTCTCTAACTTTTTTAGTTTAAATATTGAATTGTTTTTACAGTGCAGCTTCCTGCACTGTACATTATGACATAAAAAGAGCCTTTTAGAGCAAGGTATATATCCATGGGATTTTCACAACCAGATCTGTGCCAAAATAGTGAGCTGTGACTGTTCACTTGGCATATCAGTCAAACAGCCTCTTCTTGTCAAGGACGACTACTTGGTACTTCACTGGTACTTCACTGATTCACATTACAGTGTTTTTATTTTAAGTGGTAGAGATGGTGTAGCTGTCTCACCTCTAGTTCATGTGTCCGAGGGGATCGGGGGGGTTTGTGAGCAGCCCCATCACATTGTGGTACAAACACACCACACTGATCTCTGGCTGCGTCTGGTTCCCCCATCAGGAATGTCACCTGCTTCAGATCACCCTGCAGAAACAGGGAATATTAAATCACTTTAACACTTTTATATGGATCAGCAAGTGTCAAATAATCATGATTTCTGTTATTGTGAGAAAACTGTCAGAAATGCGTTAAAACAGGCAGTTATTCCACAAGTATCAACAAGTCAGCAGGATACTGCATACTGCTGATCTTAGAAACGTAAAAAGAAAAGTTGTATACTTCTACAATCAAACAGGCATGGTGAGTAATGAACATCTGCTTCTTCAAACAGCAGAGATGAGCAGTACTTTACAAGTCTCTTGGAACTTTTCTTATACTGCCCTGCATTTTGCAGCTCTTGCATCACATACATTTGCACATTTATTCCCAAAAATCAACCCCTCCAAATTTCCCACACGGTGTGGTTGATATTTTGATATAACATGCTTTGGAGTGTATGTAATAAGAGAGTGTGCCAAACGCCATAAATGTAAATGTAATGTGTAAGTCATGCCTCTAGCTTCATTGATAGTATGTAGAAAATACCTTATCAATTAATTTATTTTATTAACTTTAACAATGATCATCAATGAAAACAAATATTTCAAAATCTCTACTTCTATCTCTACATCATTTTCACAGATGTTAAAAACACATCACCAGTTAATCCTTGTATGAATGTGACCTCCACCCCTACCGATGCACACTGGTATTAAGCTGGGAGAACAGTGGCTAGTTAGGTGTATATTAGGGCTGTATATTGCATGAGGTCATCCTAAAGGGTGCCGCCTAGACTGCATGGGGAATTAACTTTCTTCTTCTAACATCACCAAAACTTTTCTGCAGCTGCCCAAACCTCCTCTTCTTACCATTGTTAAATTCCTTCTTTATTCACCCAAAGAAAGTAGTTCAAAATTTCCAGTTAAACACTGAAAGTGGTGCAGGTTCTACAATAATTCACCTAAAGCTCTGTCCTTCCATCAAGACAGATGACTACAGTAGACTTGGGCACCAGGCATATGTCACTGATTGATTGTAAGGAAGAATCTTGTGGGCCAAGCCAGATCAATCCAGATGTAGACTGGATATTAAAAGAACGGTTAGGCAAAAAAATCCAATGTAGTTGATCATGTTTACTGTCCAAATTTTGCTAGTTAAATTTAGCACTGGAGCAAAAGTACTGAATCTTTTTATAAATACATCCCCAAAACTGACACTGACAAGTCTGCACAACCTTAATGAAGACCTGGATGCAGTTTGAGTGAGAGGTTTTCAGGATGTATTTACAGAAAAGACCTGGGAGAGTTTAGTTACAGTGTTTAGTTATAGTATAGCAACATTAGCCTCGTAGCTCCACTGAATGATGTTTGACTACATCTGTAGTGGAAAATTCTCATTTTGATTTTTTGGCAAACTGTTCGTTTAAGACTCTACATCAGGGGTCATCAAATCCAGTTCTGGAGAGGTCCAGCAGTTTGGTTACTGCTCAAATACACCTGATTACCTGCTAAATGTAGTTATTAACTGGTGAGTTGAATCAGGTTTTTCTGCAGAGTTTTTCTGCTCAAAATCAGCAAACTGTAAAGAACTCTGGCCCTCCAGGACCAGAACTGATGACTCCTGCTCTGGATACAATGTAATAGGGCAGAGGATCAGTCTGATATAATGCCATACAAGTTTTTCCTGCTCTATAAACATCTGATTCAACACAATAGGTAATTATTAAGACCTCCACAAGCTGCATCAAGTAGATTAGGGACACTGATTCTGTGACCAGTGATCAATACTGTAACATCTAACCAAGAATACAGATGCAGGACTGCGCTTTTGAACCAACAGTTAAAGCCTCTACCTCTCGTGCCCCTGCCAGTGGTTATGTAAGAAGCAAATGTCTGTGTCAGCATAACAGCTTGTAACACGGTACAAAGGTAAACTCTCTCTCCGGCTGTCCAAGGGGAGAACATGATGGGAGATGCTTGTTGTTGCTGGATGAGTACAAACACAGATGTTAGACTTGTCCCTTATGGTACATGTTCCTGTGTGCTTAAACCTCCATTCCTCAAGTATGAGCAGAGGTCTGATGTCTGCAGGGACAGGTCTGTGGATGTCTTCATGTTTCGTGAGGTGCAGACAAGCAACATGATGAATTACATGACTGTCTTCATCACTCAAAGTTAACAGGGAGTGGATGTAGGACAAATTACATAGACCAGAGCTTCTGTATCTGTATTTAAGATGTACTGATCAGTTTCCGGTTCTTGCTCAAGATGTTTTGTCACCTTATGATAGTTCAGCAAAAATTACAGTTCAGACAGTTTTTGTCTTACTTCAAATGTCAATCAGCTGTAATGTGTTGACAGTAATTTACACTGTAATGTGTTAACCTACTTTGTTTCTTGAAAAAGTACATTACAGTAATGCAGTACACCCCAACACTGCCAATTAGCAGTAGCAAAACCAGCATGCCTAAATTATCACATACTTTCCTCTCCAACAGATTTGCTTATGTGGTTTCTGACACTGTGTCACATATCGTTATCTATAAAAATGGACAAAAGTATGTCACTATTGCTAAAAAAACAGCTAAAACCTCTAACAACAGAAGCCAAGTTTTGTGTCTGTTTTAGGCATTTAGGTTACTTACTGTACATCTTACAGCACTTAGCAGATGTTGCATTTGATTTGAGCCCAGGGCTCTCATTGGTACAGACATGGTGTGCTTGCCAAAGCAGGGGATCCAACCCCAGTCCACAACATGAAGATCAGTGGTGTTACACTCTACACCACACCAACGACATTGGTAGTCACAGGTGGTCTTGATCAACATTTGGGGTAGGAGGAAAATTGTGTAAATTTTTGGCCGAACTATCATTTTAAAGCTAAATATTTTCAATTTTGTTCATTTTATATGGACTTTAACATCTTCTGTGCTCTGATTTTTTGCATATAACAGTAATAGCATCAACGTGCAAGACAGGACAGTTTGAGCAGTTGCTGTTTGAGCTTTTACCTCAAACGGTGTTTCAAATCCCTCGATGATTCCTCCCACCATGACCAGTCCCTCGGTGGTGATGCCCAGGCCATCCTGGTAGGCCCAGTCTACACTTTCCACCATAGCACAGTCCACATACAGCGCTAACCGCCCTGTAGACACACTCACTGCTACTCGATGCCAATTACCATCAGACAACACAGTCACAGGAAACCTAAGAGAAAGAGCCCAGAGCCAAATCTGAATTCATTTACATGAAGGTAAAAGAAGCATTACTGTTATTTTCTTTGTTCTGACATGTATTTGAGTCAATAGCATAAATTAGGCTCCTACAATGGCATAATATATTCAAGATGGCTAACTTGCTATGTCATATCAAACGATGTTTGCATAGCATATGTAAAGTGCCAGAATCTTATTTGATCACACAGTGAGAAAATACATTATTATATTTTTATGACAGATGAAAACAACATTTAGTCCAAGTAACAGTGTGAAAGTGTCATTTATTTTCTAGTGCAAGCGGCTAATGAAGCAGTGTGGCCAAATATTAGTTCTAAGAGCTGAGTCTACCGTGAAGTAAAAGGCCTAATTTATACTCAGTCTAAATGATCTGGTTTGGGTTAATATCACTGTGTTACATTCAATCTGTCAGAGAGATCCTTGTGTCTGTTCAAAGACCAGAGCTTATGACGAAATTCTAGCCAAGACTAACATATTCATGACATTAAGAATGAGGAACCGGTTTTATCATCATGTAGTTGGAAATGAGCTCCTTTCAATTAGGCAATAAAGTATTACTCACTCCTGGCAGTGAGCTTTTAGGTAAAAAAAGGTAATCTACTGTATGCCATTTCCATCCAATAGGATAGAAATAAGAGAAGCTAAAAGAGAATGGCATGTTACAATGACCCAAAAGAAAATCTGTTTACATCTCACTAGGCTGAGAAATGTCTGTCTAGCTGTGAGCAAAAACTCTTATTAAAGCCAAGCTCATCTGCAGTGCTTTGGAGCTCTTCAGCCAAGCAGATTAGGGATGTACATATGCACTCGAGTACTCGCTTAACCATATAAGGTGCCGGGTGTTCTAAAAAATGTGTCCTTCCCATCAAGCAGTCCTATCGTGCAGGCCCGTATCATTAGTGAAGTATAGCAACTTTTACATTTTTTGTTAAACATTTTATTGCATTTTTAATGTTAATTCAGCCTTACATCAAGGGTATTATACAGACTCAGCTAAGTGTTATTACTTACCCTCTGGTAAGGTGATTTAGGCTATCAAAATATTCTACCTATAGTTTATTGCTGGTAACATTTTCTGATAAGGTGATTTAAGCTATCAAAATATTCTAAATACAGTTTCATGCAGATCACTACTCATAATTATATGCTATGGTAGGACATTTTAACAAGACAGCACAAATACTGAAATCATTATTTGTATGTTTGTTTTGTTTTATCACTGTTATGTTTTAATAGGATGGTAAAATGTGGTGAGTTTACCACATTATATTGTGCTCCACAACTATGAAACACGAGTGCTTTAATGTGAGCTCAGTGCCACGGACACATTGTTAAGGACATGACTGATGCTGCCTTCAAGACCTCCTTGGAAGTTTCTACTTATGACTTAGGAGGCTGTTAAGTATGACTTGATTTGTGGTCAAGTGGTTTTGGTCAGAAACAAGATAGATGCACTAGAAATACACACATATTTTCAAAACCACTTATCCTCCTGGGTAGCAGGAGGTGTTGGAGCCTATCCCGGCACTCACTGGGCGGAATGCAGGATACACCCTGGACAGGTCGCAAGTCCATCACAGGGCAGACACACAGGCGTACACATTCACACACACATTCACACTTAGGGGCGATTTAGCATCTACAATTCAGCTGACTGCATGTCTTTAGACTGTGGAAGGAAACCCACGCAGACATGAGGAGAACATGCAAACTCCACACAGAGAGCACCCTAGTTGCCCGGCCAGGGAATCGAACCCAGGCCCTGCTTGCTGTACTGTGCCACCCCACTATAATTTTTTTTTTAATTTAATTTTGTTTCTCTATAGTTAGAGAGTAAATTTAGTTTGCATTACTGCAACATAATGAAGAACAACAGATGCTCACGAGACGAGTAATGTTTTTATGCAGTTAGAAGCATCACATAACATGTCTGTATTTTGACATGTGGATGATTTTAATCTGCAGTGTTCATATATGGCTGCTGAATAACTGAAATACAACCATTTTATCAGTGGCTAGCGTTTTTGTTGACACACCCCAACTCAAAAAAAAAAATCCCACTAGTAAATATGACATTGTGGTAGCGTTCATGTGTGCTAATTCGTAAATATGATATTTCTGACACAACTTGAAGGCAGCACAAAGCTTGTTTGCTAATCTAACTAGGCTAACTAAGTCATTCAAGTTGCGGTTAACCAGGTCCGGAAGCAGTGAAAATGCATTTTTTTTGACAATAACTTACATGTTGGCACATTGTCTACATGTAAATCTAAGTCCTCCCCTCATATAAAATAAAAATATAAAAATAAGTCCTCATAAACATCCATTGTCACACCTGTTAGCCCTGTTAGCTTAGCTCCTCTGAAGTGGTAGCCTCTGTTACTCATCCAACATGAAAACCTACCAATCTCCCTCTGCTATTTTTGAAAAATGAAACATGTTAAAATGTGTTCCACTGCCTGCTGCTACACCAGTGATGTCCCCAAAAAAGATAATCCAACAGTTCTATGTTAATGTTGGCCCAGTCTGTTTCTTTTCGCTCTCCCCTCCCTGCGGTCGATTATCTGACCATTAACCCCTACAATTACTTGAACATCAAAATCAGTTGAAATACACACCCATAAAACAGATGCAGCTTTATCTACCTATTCACTAGAAAGCATTCATCTACTGCTCTCTAGCTGATAGAATGAACCAGTGTGTGTATGTGAGGTACGCTGAGACTGACTCGTAGTGGCGCTGCTGTGTGCTGATAAAGGTGAAGGCGTAGGCACTGATGCGGATCTGCAGAAGGATGTGTCCGTCAGGGCAGAGGAAGGTCAGCAGGCTGCGGTCATCACGCTGAGAACTGCGCAGCTGCATCAGCAAACTGAACTCATCTCCAAAGCTGAGAGTAAAGACACACTTCAGAGTTAGATTTACATACACATACATGTAGAATGTTGAGAAAGTAGATTTGAAATGTTTGTGAGATTTGGATTGTAATAAAAGAGTTTAATTGACCTATAGAACCAGCAAAACTGCTTGTTACCACATGCAATACATTTGTGAACCACAAAACGTGTTTTAAAGTGTAAAAAAGTTCAGAGACAGGTTATTCTGCATGTGCAAAACAACAGATTCTCATTTAGCGGTACAGAAGCTACTTTAGCAGTAGGATCCAGAGTTTCACCCAGTGTATTACAGGCCCCTTCGGCTATTTGTAAATATAGACTGTGGGCAGATTTACTGTAAGAGGTGCTAATTATAGAGAGTCTGCTTACAGTTTGTGCTCATGAGGGTGGCCAATTTAGCAGGTTAGAAGGGTTTTTTTATTTGTTTCTGGCAGCAGTATGTCTGTAAGCCTAACGTTTCACCTCTATGTAATGACTTGTTTTCTCAATATTCTGACTTAAGTCAAAATAATGAGTTATTGCTCTTCAAAGTATAATTATTTAGAAATAATGTCATTATTTCAAGTTGGAATATTGAGGAAAATAAGTTTTCTGACAAATCTGTGGGTGACCATATTTTGCTATATTTGGGAAACCTGGGGGCAGGAAGGCAGCACAGGGCACACTGTACTAAGCAAATCCAAATCCTGACCATTTTATGCAGTTTAAAAATCCTGTCCAGATGTGTTTTTTTAGGTCTTAATAAGTGGACATATGGTCACCCTATGTTTGCTGGACAGGCGCCTCTAGGCAGTATTTATTATCAGCCTTGGTAAATCCATTTCAGTAAGTCATTAAGAATATATGCAATGCAGGTAAAAGCACAAAATAGCAGCTACCAAACCTGTAATCTTATATGGGTTAATTGCACCTATATAGTGCCTATATATATAAAAGGTCCCCTCTTAAAGCCAAAATAGGGTTTGAGGTGGTTCAAAACATTGGATCTGCCCCTATAAGCTAGTAGACTCTTGCAGATTCCCCAATTGATATAGTTTCTCCTTTTTAATGTCAGTAGTAACAATGAGAGGAAGAGCCATCAGTTTGTTTTTTGAGCTATCATACACTCTCAGAAAATTAGGTATGAAACTGTCACTGGGGCAGTACCCCTCTTGTTACTGGGGTGGTATCCTCAAGGACAGTACTGAACAGTACCTTTATTTCTAACAGTGTAAGGTGATGGACCATAAGCATATACAATAACCAAGCATCCGTCCCACCATCCAAGGATCTAAGTAGTTTCCAAGGTTTGTGTTGTTTAATTCATTACTATAATCAGACACATGGCGGTTCATCTTTAAGCAATATGAGTTCTACTGCTTTTATAGAACAGTTTTGCAAAGTAAAGCAAATAAGCTCCACATATTATATTTTAAAAAACAAATTTGTTTTTTAATATTGTCAGTTTCTTCCATCAGAAAGAAGTAGTTCCAACTTAATCTAAAGCAAGCATTGTTGTAACTGGTGGCAGAATAACACAGGCACAGTGAAAAACCCTTGCTGTTATACAAAAATCCAGGTAGAACATTTTTCAGCCAATCAGACTGTGTGGTCAGAACCAACTTTTGCATAACTTAAAAAATACCAGGGCTGCGACTATTGAATATTTTAATTTTCAAACATTCTACCAAATATTTTTTGATTATTTAAATGTTCTGTAAAAAATATGGAAAGCTGATATTTGAGTTTGACTTTAACAATAAAATAAAAAAAACTTACTGTTATCAATTACAAAAAACTGATGAAAAAACTGATAAACATTAGTCATAGCAAATAGTATAAGCATGTTCTAAACTCTGCAGTATTATCCGTCTTACTGCCCTGTGCAGTTTCAATAAGTTTTCACTCTTATTCATTTTAGGGAATAAATGCAGTGGAGAGCATGCTAGCTAGCAATCCAGATCCAGAAAATCTGTTATTATCACCTCAAATTAGAGCTCTATTAAAGTGCCAGTTAGAAATCTTTTTTTTTTTTCTAGTGCAACCTCTAACTACTTCTAACACATAACTGCCACTTTGACATTTGACTGACATGGAAAAGGCCATCCTTAAATCATTGTTTTTGTGTGACGTGCAGGCAGATTATCTATATCTGTCTTCAAATGTGCAGCTCCTACTGGTAATTCGCTGTTTCCTGTCAGTCCAATAAACCCCAATGCACTAAAGCATGTGCTTTCATCTTCAATTATTTATTATTTTATCAATTATTCAATTATTATTTCAATTGAGTTTTTATTTCTGAATATTTTAATTATTGAATTGATTATTTTTAGCAAATATTCTTTGCAAACTACCAATTGCACTGTGAGTACAGGAAGACTGCGTTTACCTGTGTCCAAATAACTGGCGTAGAGGCAGAGCGAGAGTGGAGTACTGTCCTACATGCAGCACCGGACATCTCTGACCCTCCAGAGTAACAGAGGCATTACTGCTGTTTGCCACTTGCCACAGCTGATCCAGAAGGTTGATGTTTTCTACGCAGAGACAAAAACCAGAAAAAGGCAGTGGTTTAAAGCAAAGATATGAAGGAAAAATATGGCACACAAAATAGCGTAGCGCTTTAACAGGCCAAGGCTTGCCAGTGAGCCCAAAGTTTTATTGTTCTAAAGTTCTACAACCTAAAAACAGTTCAACCTGTTTGCACTGAAGTCCCTGTAGTTACTGAATAATAAGCCTTAGTATGTAATAAGCCTGGGATTTTAAGGGGTTAGATTACAATTTAACACATCAACATAATAGAACCTGACAACATCTGTTCTGTGTGTAAGCTCAGGTGCAGACGAAAGTATAGCCTATAAAGTTAACATAAATAAGTGGGTCCTGTTCCATGGAGGCCTAAACCTTGCCTGTATTATTTTAGCATTAATTGTTGGCATTGCTCAGGCCTTGATGGCATTATGAGGAGCCTGTGTGCACATTGCTCAGGAAATCAGCTCACTGAAAAGAAAAACAGGGCTTTTTTAGTCCCATCATTAAAAGTTTAGAGCAACATAATAAGTAGAGCCATGGTTTTAAATGGTGTAGTCATACCCCATAGTGCCCACCATTGTGTCCTCCCTCTTGAGTTTGCTCATTTCCTGCTGGTCCGGGGGCCCACTTTATTTACAGAGAGCACAGTGTGTGTGTGAGAGAGAAACACACTTGTGGCTCCGGGACATGTGTCTGAACACAACAGTGTGGTAGTAAATGTGATAAATAAACCATCATGGCCACCTCCTGTGTCCATGAATGCAGCATTTAATCGAACACGGAGAAAGTGACTCAGCTTAAATAGGTCAACGAGAGCAGAAAACACACCTGCACTGACTGGCAGATGGATGGAAGCGGGTTTTGCCACCATGAAGGCCCAGACTATATCATGGATATGGATTTGTCTAAGAGGGAGTCTAAATAGAGGAAATGGATACCATAACACATTATTATAACAGGCGCCTGCCTGTGGATTTGGCTTCTTTTATAATTCAGTGCACTTGATTAAAGGTACAGATCTGCAAAAAATTCTAATTTACACTTTTCTCCTTATTTTAAATGTAGTCAACCAGGCAAGACATGATTATGTCTGAAGTTTGCTTCATAAGTTTTGCGCTGGAGCTACAAGGTAATAGCAAGCATGTACGCTTGTATCCTAGCAATTAGCGCTAAACAAACTGCACGCCTAAATCACTATACACTTGCTCAAACTATGTCAATTGTTAGGTAATCTCAAATAAACTTGCTTATGTGTTTTCTGACACTGTATGACACTTTTATCAGGAGAGTACCAATACTGCCAAGGCCTTATATTCCTAAAACCCTAGTTTCCCAGTGCAATGTTCCCTTACCTATTTATGAGATACATCATACTTGTATATGATTCATTAAGAGAACCTCTAAAGGAGTTCCTGAAGTCATGGTATGGGTCATGGGGTCACCAAAGGGAACAACAGGGAACGGATTTTCAGTAAGAATGCACTTACCCTCGGCTAGGTTAGCCTCAGTGAGCTAATCAGCTAGTTAATCGACCTTTGTTATGCAAACTATTTTTGACAAGTGAGAGCATACAATACAATACCTTTATGAATGATTGCTTTGTTTGCCTTGTGTGGTGCATTGCTCTTCTTTTTTGTTGCTTCTTAGCTCGCTAGCTGGCATGTTAGTTGCTATCTGGAAGCAGCATCTCCATAAACACAATTTCAAATGATTTACTAAACATATGACATCAGAATATGTACATTTGTAAACACTTCAGAGGTATACGTTATTTTTGTCAATGAGCAAATAAAGGGCCCTAGGAACTCTCTAAAAAGAACAAGATTACAGACAAAAAAGCATATAAACAATGCAATTAAGTCTATTTGAGATTGCTTAACAACTTGACATGGCTTAAGACAAGTTTGCAATTATTTACATAGGCAATTTGCATGATGCTAATTGATGCTACATAACTTTCCATTACTTCTGAGCTATATTAGCCTTGTAGCTCCAGCGCAAATCCAAAAAAGCAAACTTTGGACATCAAATATGCCACAGCATAATTATAATTTTTTGCTGAACTATTGCTTGAAAGAGGAAAAGCAGTATTTGTAACTTTTATTAACACACAGGAATTGTGTTTCATCTTTTAAACCCACATTTCACAAATCTAACTTTGTAAAGGTGTAATAAAAATGCTTCCTCTGCAGGTATGTGAGATTTATGTGCTATAATAAATCTCAGGTCTCTCTGGACAAAAGAACAAATATACACACATTAAGCAGGAAACCACACTGGTTCAGCACCAGGTAAATCATTTAAACCCTGGTAACTGCTGTCCTGATGACAATGTTAACAAGGAGGAAAGTAAGTGAGGTTAACTGAGGATTCTAATAACAGAACCTGCACACGAAGACCACTGATTTACACACTGTGTAACGAGCCCTAAAAACACATACCAAGCCTGCAAACCTTTTCTCCATAAACATAACTGCTCCTATAGGATTAGAAAGCCGTCTTTTCTTTTTTTTTCACTTCTTAATATTTTCCTTCCGTTTCTGGGCGGGAAAGCTCTTTTTAGGCCTCCAGGCCTGCATATGACTCCAGTGTCCATTGCTGTCAGCACGGCAGTGGACCCGACCTCTATTAGGCAGACACTCATAGTCACACTCAGTGATGGCTTGCAGGACATTAACTAATGTTGGCGTTTCCATGCCTGTATTGCAGACGGTAGACAATAATGGCTGAGTTACAGGCCAGCAGCATTACATTCACATTCAAGTCAAAGATTATTTAATTCATATCTTAAGACAGTTTCACCATTTCTTAACAGAAGCTTGGAAGTCTTGCACATGTAGCAAAGTTGTGCCTGTTTAATAACATTCCCAGTTTCACCAATCAGATACGAGCTATAGGGGTGATATCACTGCTGTGCACACCCACTTTCTTTCTGAGCTGACAGACGTTTGAAGATGATGTGTGAAACAGCAGTGTGTTTCTGGGACAAAATCTACCCTTGTTGTGGGGCAGGTTGTAACAATGGAACTGTATTTGAGTAAAGCATTAGATATCAACACTATTATTATTTATAAGAGACAAACATGAGTTTCTTATAAAAAACTTAGAAAGGTATAGCACAACCACTCAGTAACAGAGGCTGAGACAAAAAAGTGTTTCAACCTTCCACAGTATATAACTGTTAATTATATAAAATCGCTGCTGTCAGAACAAAACCTTGTATCTCCAAAATGGTAACTTTACAGGAGAAGGAAAAAACATACTTTAATTTCAATGTAAGTTTAATGTCATTTTAGGCTGTTTCTTTTGGTCCATTCATCACAGAATTTACATACAATGTAAAGGGCAGCAAGCATTTTCAAATTCTGTCAAACACTGAAAAACAACAAAAATGGAGATATGGGGTTTTGCTCCGACAGCAGCGAAATTGTTTAAGCATATAGTTTCAATATTGGTAACTTCTGAGTACTGATGGTCAGTGATCAGTCTAATGATAAAAAAGCTGTTATCAGACAAAACAACACAGGTAACACTTTTCAACCAAACAGATTGTGTGGTCAAAACTAAGTTTTGTTCATCTACTTAAGACTAACATTGAGTATTCATAAATTCTGAGGAACATCATATTACATCGCATTATGGTTATTAACAAGACAGTAAAGATAACATTAGTAAAGTACAATATTTGCTCTGCAACTACAGGCCAAAAACGTCATTATAATCTAAAATATCTTCAGTTTTTCTTTTATTATGTCACTATGCACCAGTGAGCATGGAAAAACAGTTTATACTAATAATATGATTTTTCACCTCCCACTGGCACCACCCCATCTGTCTTCGAGCAAATGCCCAGCTAGCTCAGAGACCCTCCCTAACACTGCGTTTCACTTGGAAATATTATAGGACAAGAAAACCTGTTTGAGATTCACATCGACTTTAAGGAGTTGTGTTTTGATGAACATAGGACATGCATCTAGGGGAGCCATTGTGGACTGGAATACTGACAGAGATAGAGACATATTTGTTTCACCAGACAAACAACTAAAAAACTCAGAAAAACTTTTGGTGTGAATTGGCCTTATAGGAGAATTACACAGATTTTTCAAAGATTTCTGCATAATTCAATCTTTAAGTAGAAAAACCTGCTGACTCAGATTTCTTGACAGTGATGTTGATAGGAGCCAGGGGTCACAATGTCTACGATACAAATATAGCCATTGTATCTAATATCCTACATGACCAAAGAACATACAAGGTTTTGGCCTATATATAATGTTATTGATGGTAAAAAGCAGTGAATTGTAAGAAAAAATGTTTAAGAAATACACGTTTTCTTTCTTCAAGTCATTATTTTGCCTTATTGTGCCCTGCATGGCCCACCACAAAAAATGTGATAAGTCCAATGTAATAAACAGTCATGGGCTGGAGGTTAGGGAACCAGCCTTGTGACCGGAAGGTCACCGGTTCAATCCCCTGAGCCAACAGGACATGACTGAAGTACTCTTGAGCAAGGCACCTAACCCCCAACTGCTCACTGGGCGCTGTGGATAGGGCTGCCCACTGCTCTGGGCAAGTGTGCTCACTGCCCCCTAGTGTGTGTGCTTTCACTAGTGTGTATGTGGGTGTTTCATTGTACAGATGGGTTAAATGCGTGGGCGAAATTTCCAATGTTGTGGGACTAGTAAGGGTCATCTAACTAACTTAACTCAAAACTATCAAACTATAACAACTTTCTGTGAGGTAGCATTAAGACGCATCAAACCAGAGGTTGCCAATCCTAGTCCTGGCGATCCCACACTGCAGATTTTTGTGTTGTGTCTTAGCTAGCACATTTTATTCAATGGATAAACTAATTAATCTCCTTGTGGTCTGAATCAGGTGTGAAGAGCATGTGCAGAGCTTGCGGGGACAGGAATTGGGAACCCTCACATTAAACACTTCAGATGTCTGGTTTCTATCACTGCTACTATGAACAATTCTGACTCAGTAAGCTCCTCTAAAAAGG